ACTATATCTTGTAATAATACTTCCAAACACCATAAAACATCAACATCTGCTTATCCCTGATTCTTGGGAAAGACTCAATACGTGGATAAAAATACCAAATAGAATCTGAGTATCTGGCTGACTGTGAGGAACCATAACAGATGCATTGCCATAAGAATAATTCTCTTACTACTCTGTCATTAATAGTTCTATCTATCTATCTATCTATCTATCTATCTATCTATCTATCTATCTATCCAGTGCTTTTTTCGTAAAAAAAAAAAAAAAAAAAGGGTCACACACGTCATACAACCCGCCTTGCCTACCCTACAAGGTTCCATCCCAAAAAGATGCCGGAACTCTGTTCTGGGCGTTCTATGACACAAAAAACTAACTAACTAACTAACTAACTAACTAACTAACTAACTAACTAACTAACTAACTATCTATCTATCTATCTATCTATCTATCTATCTATCTATCTATCTATCTATCTATCTATCTATCTATCTAATCTATCTAATCTATCTATCTATCTATCTATCTATCTATCTATCCATCCATCCATCCATCCATCCATCCATCCATCCATCCATCCATCCATCTCCTCAGACAAATGAAGCAAAACCTGCAATTCATTAATAAAAGAAAAGAAAAAAATCATTTTCACAAGGGTCTAAAACTTTTGGGTACTGTGATTCCCCTTAAATAATGAATTTGTGTGAATGATAATAAAAATAAAAACAATTGATAAAATAACAGAAGTTTCCTCAGTCATGTGTGGCTGAACTGGGAAATTCTGTGTTCAAGTCATCAAGACTTCAAAGGGAAACCGGAGCCTGCCACTTGTTCAAGGCTTTGCTTTATTGTTAATTCCAAGACCAACTGTTTTTGATTCTCACAGTAGCAATGATGGCATCCTTGTATTATTGAATGGGAAGCAGATAATGATCTCTTTATTTACTGGCATTTATAAATTGTTCAAATCTTGAGGTTACTAGATGGTAGACAACAACATAGGAAAGTATATAATCAACATAAAAAGAATAGAATCTCTCAACAGTATTGTAAAATAACCAAGGTAATTAAAATAACCAAGATGATTAAAATGACTAAAGGCACCTACAATTGCTTTTTGAAATTCCTTTTCTTCTCCCCACTGATACTATCCATGCTTCTGTTGGTTAAATTACTGGCGTAACATTGTGAATCAACACAACTCACTCTTGGTATGATGAGCACTTTCACACTGAACATGACAAATATTATATTACAGAGATGCAATAAACTGCAAAAAAAAAATTATTTCTACACCTCAAACTCATGAAATCATAGCTTGTATCACCAAATTCACCACTGGAAGGTAAGAATGCCTCTTAACAGTAAGAATTATAACTGGAGAATAGGAAATCTTAACTTATATAGAGATGATTAATTTAAAATTAAAATAATTTAACTCCATAGCCCTGACGCTGGTATTTGTTCCTATACATAATTAGGAACTAATAGTCAGGCTATTGACATAAGTACAACTTTCAAGCATTAATTCAAACATTTATCAAGTTCCCTATGAAGGCAAAAGTCATGACTAGAATAAACCAGTTTTTTTCAACAATATTGCTCAAGAAATTTCATCCATAAGCGTGCATGCTTCAATCAATATATAGGCACATAGAACAAAGCTGACTATCATGCTTGCAATCTCTCCCTTCCCCCCAAATGTACAGAAACCTTAAGTCTTGTGAGAATTCTTACTAGCTTAAATACCTACTGTTAATCTTTAGTAGCTACTGATCTTATTAGCTTAAAGCTTTGATCTAGAACTAGTAATCAATTAATCCAAACCTCTCTTTGGGTCTTTTTCCACAATTTTAACATATACTATTAAATATTGCAAGAAAAAAGCCAAATATTTTTAGTCTCCATTATTAACTGACAGATTAAACTGATCTCAGCCATATAATTTTGGACTTCTTAAGTCCAAACAGTAGTTTATATTCTACAGAGTGGTCTCTATAGAATATAAAATGCTGTAATAATAGCATCCATCTGCAAGAAGCTGAAAGAAACATAATTCTCATGACTCCTATGTTCACAGGAGAGGAATAAAAGTGGGGCAGTGGATCATGATAGTGGATAAATCCTACAAATAAGATATAAAATGCTCCTATCTGGAACAGTTAAGATGTAATGCATAATAACACAAGTTATTTCAAAATGGGTTAGTTCAAACTCTGTTTTCTCTCAACTGGAAATTTATCAACATCACTATTAAATACACACACACACATACATGTGCACATGATAGCTGAAACAGCAAGTAGACTAGAAATGTAAAGTGATAACTACATAGTTTCCCTGGCCTCTCAAAAAAGTCTGCCACTGTGATTTATTAAAACTGAATATTTAATGTTTTTAGAAGTGTGTTTTCCTCCATGAATAGCCTGCTAAAAATCTGTGGTATGTGCTGATATAAACATTTTGGTTTTAGTTTGAAGGAAAGGGAAAAGGCAAAATTCTTCTTCCATATTTCCCACAAATAGTTATTGCCATCTGGCTTGCTGTCAAAGGATTTCTTCCTCTTTACTAAGTTAGGTCTCTTGTGTATTTATACATCAACATACTTGCCTTTCCTTCTTCAAATATTTTAATGGATGAAGATATCTGAGGGGGGAAGAAATCTAATGAATTCCTATTGCTACTTGTGTAGGAAGTTTTTTAAAAAACAAAATATAGAAAGCAACCAGGGTATTAGCTGTTTTGCATTGATTTGGCACGAACAGTGGCAGATATGCATTGTCTATCCAGACTAGCATAAACTGTCCTTGCCTTGAACTAAAGTGATGAAAAACTGGACAGCTGCATGCAGTTTGTATTCTAAATTAAGAAAAGGCTCCCTTCCTGCACAGTAGACTTATTTTCTCTGTAAGCTATAGTCATATATTCAGAATGAAAGTTATATGAATAACCTTTAAAAATCAGAAATATTCCCTCACTAACCGTTTATACATTCTTTTTATATCTCTACAGCAAACTTTATTTGACCTTGGAATTAGCTTGAAAGCAATAACTTAAGGTTTTTCAGTTGAAGTTCTTGCTGTTGTTAGATTATAGATTATTTTGGGGGAGGCACATAATTATACAGGGAGTGTAGCAAAGTCTTACTAAAAGTTTTTTGTAGTTCCTTTTTGGAAACAATCTAGAAGTTAACATCAATGTTTTTATTTAAAAAAATAGTAGGGACAACTATATTGTTAACTGAATTTTTGCCAAATCTGAGTGCATAGTTTCAGAAATCAAGACTTGCATCAAGAGGCAAATAAACAGAATGCTGATCTTAAAAACATAGATTTTATGTGGCAACTAAGAAGTCAAGTACATGTTCCCAGAAGGAAAGCTAGGTCTACCAGATGCTATCAGCATATTTTATCAAAGTAAATTTTGTTAGATTATAACTTGTCTTTTCCCCCAGAGCAATAGGTAATCAGAAAAAATAGACCTATGAGTTATTCTGAGGTGAGAAATAATAACTGAATATATGTCATCCAGTTAGCTTCAGTGGGTGCGTATGACTAAGATTAGGTCTCCCTAAACTTAATCCAGCAATTAAACTACTACATATTAGCTCTCTAAATTGCTTAAATAATTATTGATATATATGGAGAGATAAAACAACCATCTAATATACTTTGCAAACCACTGTTTTACAGTGAAAGAAAATTTTCAAATAATGTACATTCCTTGCAGCAAAGGAGTTCAACTTCTTGAATACTCTGTCTTTTCTACCTTTAGGAAGCAGAATGTTATTTCTGAGTTAAAATTACTAGTATTTCATAAAAAGCTAAGGATACTATACCAAGCAATATAGATATTGTACAGATAGTAAGAAATTAGTGATAACCTTGCCCTGATCCAGATTGACCAGGCCTGGAAATTGACTCTACAGGTAGGCTAAAAAACTATTTTTATTGAGATTAGCTATAACAGAATTTTGCAAGCCAGATTTCCTCATTCTCCTTATGCTTCAGTGACTCAGGGATGCATATATCTCAGCTGTTTCTGAAAGTTATCTCATTATTCTGGACTTTTAAAAAGTGTTTCAGCCCCTTTGGTCTAGGTAATGGTTTCTGTATATCTCCATCAAGATCATCTTCCTTACTCTCTACATAATGTCACTCAATCTATGACTGCACCTCAAATAACAGATATCTTGTAACATCAAAGAAGCCATTTACAATAACTCTGACCAATGTAATACTACAGCAGACATCAAGGAGCCAAAGTGGTGCTAATATCAGAATCCAGAAGATATCACCCCATGAGGCAAGGAGCATATGCTCTTTCACTGACTGATGCAAAATTGACAATGGTTAGCTTTGGAAGGAAGATGCAGACTGAATGTAGAAATTCTCTCTGTTCTTATATAAGATCTCTAAGGGAAAAGCGGAGGCAGGTGAATGGGGAGCTCACCTATTATGGCCAGGAGAGAACTCTGGATATTAAGGAAGTAATTTTCAGCTCATTCTTGCAGTCCTTTGGCCACAAAACATTATCCATAACCAATACCTTGTGTTCATCACTAACAGTAACTTTTTTGACAGATACTTGAGGGATTGTAATGCCTTTTTACTTCCATTATAAAATCACAACTTACTAAACAAGTACAAAGTCAAAAACTTTGTAAGGTGGAACTTTCTGAATAATGCAATCTCATAGTATGTGATCTTCTCAATCCTATAATGTATAGTTGATTACCATCACATATGATTTTGACCTATATGTCCCTTAAAAATTAACAAAAATAAAAGTCAAATGGCAATGTTATAATGCAAAAGATTTATAAACTATAGCATGAAAGGGCAAATATATCATTAAATCTAATGACACACTACATAGAGTGTGCATTTATATCAGAAATCTCAGACATGTCTTTTGCAATTTAATTATATGTATTATGTTTCTACAGTATTAGTATATTTTTACAATAGATGGTACAAAAATATACAATTTCCAAATCTTACCTCCCCAAAGGCACCTCGGCCAATCACTTTCAATATTTCAAAGTCATCTTTATGCAATCGCATCTGCTTCACCTTAGATGTGAAAGGCTTGGCTGAAAAACAGGAAAATATCGATCACTTTATGTAATATAACTACTTATTAAAAGTCTATACAATTTCAGAAATTATTGCTATAACAAACTAAGATAATCTACTATCTGCTGACCATAAATGGATTTGTTGACATGGTCATGATAGAACAGGGGTCCCCAACCCCCGGTCCATGGACCGGAACTGGGCTGCGCAAACAAGTGAAGCCCCATCCACTGGATGCAGGCAGCACACAAAACCACACTCTCTCTGGTCCGTGGAAAAATCTGGTGCCCAAAAGGAGGCCTCTGTGATAGAACATTCCAAATGTATGCTTTTTTTAAATGTAACATCTTTTTTACTAATGTTTGCAAGAAAAGTCTTAACATTTTATAGACCTAGAAGATTTGTTTCAACAATTTCACATAGCAGACGTCCTAATAATCACTTGGCTAAAAATTGTACAATTTTTGTAAATAGCAAAAAGAGACTGTGTTAAAATATTTCCCTTTTAGCACTGCTAGCCTGAAAAATGAAAGCCTTCCACAGTTCTATTTTTAAGTTCAAAACAAAATAAAATTTGGATACAATATTCTAGATTTAGATATAATGCCAAAAATAAGGGAATGGTTCCCAAGATATCACATAGCACAAATTTGTTGAGAACTGCAACAGAAATTGCTTTAATAGCAAATTTTCCTTTCTAATCCATCTTATCTGTCCTTTTAGAAATGTCATACAACTAGAAAATAAAAAAATAAAAAAATTCACCCTCTTAAAATAAAGCGTAAAGACTAATGAATATTGCCTTTAGATTCTTTTCAAGAGTTAAAAAAGTAATGTTAAAAAGCTTTATTCCTGCTGATTACGCAGACATAACCATTCAATCAGAGAGACAATTTGGTCTAGTGGTTAAGGAATCAGGTTAGAAACTAGGATACTGTGTCTTCTAGTCTCTCCTGAAAAATGAAAGCTAGCTGAGTGATTTTGGGTCAAGTCATTTTCTCTCAGACCAATTCACTTCACAGGGTTGTTGTTGTGAGGAAAATAGGAGGAGGAAAGGATAATAGTAACAGACCTCTCACTTCATTGCACTCGCATGTTTTAACTTTATCTTTTATTGATTTTATTGCAATTTCATTGCTCCATCATTCTGTGCTGTCCAGAATCATTGAGAGCTGGTTCTCAATTGTTGCTCTGGCTTTGTGGAACACCCTCTCTTAGAACAGGGCTTTTCAACCTTTTCACCCATTGTATCACTTTTAGGATATGGCAACATCCAAGTACCACCAGTCGCCTAGCAAGGTGTTAAAAACTTGATGACCCCCCCCCCAAAAGGAAAAAAGTGATAAAGTACAGGTAGTCCACAACTTACAACAGTTCTCTTAGTGACTGTTCGAAGTTACAATGGCACTGAAAAAGTGCCCCCCAAGCCACAGCCGAGCAAGACACCTGCCTGCCTGCCCGGCGGCGCTCTTCCTCTGTCCGAGGTTTTCATTGTTGTGAGCATTTCTGTTGAGGATTGCGGAGGTGGAGTGGGGGGAGTGTTTGGTTTTTATCCCCCCCGTCTGCTGGGTGGTTGCAGCAGGTTTTGGTCACTTCACATGACCCTGGGACACTGTGACCATCATAAATATGAATCAGTTGCCAAGCATCTGAATGTAAATCACAAGACCCTGGAGAGGCTGCAACATTCCAGCTGATCGGCGCTTCTTCTGGGCTCAGCAGAAACACCAGGATCAGTGCTGCTTTCCAGCTGATCGACGCTTCTTCAGGGCTCAGCAGAAGCACCAGGATCAGCACCGAGCTCCAGCTGGAGCCTGGCGCTGATCCTGGTGCTTCCATTGAACCCTGATAGCCCCGAAGAAGCGCCAATCAGCTGGAAAGTGGCACTGATCCTGGCGCATCCGCTGAGCCCTGACAGCTCTAGCCATCTCTCACTCAGGCTTGTACGGTGCTGCCACCGGTTCAGCTCATTCCCCTCCCCCGCTACCACTTTTCTAGGATGGTCGCGTACCACCTGCCAGGTGCCAATGTACCACAGGTGGTACCCGTACCACTGGTTGAAAAGCCCTGTCTTAGAATATAGACACTATTCCTTCTAACATTGCAGAAGCTACAGAACATGGAATTTTCCAAAGAATAAATTTTCTTACTACCTTTAATTTAGTTGACTTTGAATTAATTGATTTATTTATGGAAAATGTTTTGAATTCTTTTACGATTTAGCTATTCCTTGTTTATGCTTGTGCTGTAATTTTCATTAATTTTAGTTGCTTTAATTTATGTTTATTGTGGACATTTTTAACTATTATGAATGTTTTTTTTCAATTCTGTAAATTGGCATGAGTTTATATTGATTTGGCAACAAGTAGAATAAATAAATGTAGGAAAACAGATTGCATGTCTGTTTTTTGTATTCTGAATAAGGGAGCATGAACACAGTTCTTATCCACAAATCCTTAAGCAAAGTCATAATTGCCTTAGAGCATACAGAAATTAGGAAGAGCAGTCATGCACTACCAGGAAAGGAGGTTAAGGGGTTGCACAGAGTTGCAGACAATTCATGCCCTTCTCCTACTTCTAAGCATTTTCCCCTCCAACTACAAAGGTCCTACTGAATAAAGGCCGTGGGGAGTGCATGGCCATTTACGCATGTGCACAGCGCCAGAGCATGCCGCATGGGTGAATGGGGCTACTAGCGCACCAATTTTGAAGCTGCTCTCCTTCCCTCCGGTCCACGAGCCCGGAAAGGTTGGAGATCTCTGCTCTAAAGGTCAATGGTGAGGAATAGGCTTCTCTTCTCTTGCAGAAAATCTCAGGATCAATCTCTGGCATCTGAAGTTATGATCTGTTAACAGGTTCCTGGACAATCTAAGAAAGCTGCAGTTAATCATAGTGGACAACACTAAAAGAAAAAATATACTATATTGATGTGTTCCAGTATCAAGCTGCCTGCAGCATGGCTTAACTGCTTTACAAGTGGCTACTATTTATGACTATGTATGTTTTCTGATATATTATACTCTTCACTTTTACATTATACTTTCTTTTATTCCATTTGTTAGTATAAATATATAAAAATAGATCTGAAGTTAAATATATAAATATACACTGAAGCTGAAAATACTTACTGCATCTGAAAAAAATGGGCAGAATCTTTAAAAGCATATTTAGTACATCTTTTATGTGCCCTAACAAAAGTTGTTGATTTTCCAAAACTGAACAGTATGTTTAATTAGATTTTTTTTGTAACTTATCCCCAAATGTCCTTATTGTCAGTCAAAAGGTTTACCTGTTACTGTGAAGATTGGCATGGAGAAATGATTTCTGTTAAATAAGCTGAATTAATCATGAATCCCATAAATAACAGAGATTAAGATCTTTAATGTGCCAAGGACAGGCAAAAGTCAATTTATAATAAAAGTAGCCAATAAAAGTGGCTGTAAGCACTTGGGGCAATATTTGTAACAATGATATACAATGAGATTTATAGAAATACCATCACAGAGGAAACCAGTAAAATACTGCTGCAGAAAAATGTGGTACAAAAGAATTACTTTTTTGCAAACCTTTCCTTTCTAAAGCTTCTGTGCATAAAAAAATGAAAGGGGCAACAAAAGTAATGTAAAACAATACATTCTCTAGTACAGGACTTTTCAACCTTTTCACCCATTGTACCACTTTTAGGATATGGCAACATCCGAGCACTACCAGTCGCCTAGCAAAGTGTCAAAAACTTGATGACCCCCCCCCAAAAAGGAAAAAAGTGATAAAGTACAGGTAGTCCTCGACTTATAACAGTTCACTTAGTGACTGTTCGAAGTTACAATGGCACTGGAAAAAGTGCCCCCCAAGTCATAGCTGAGCAAGACACCTGCCTGCCCGCCCGGTGGCGCTCTTCTTCCTGTCTGAGGTTTTTATTGTTGTGAGCATTTCTGTTGAGGATTGGCAGTGGGGTGGGGGTGTTTGGTTTTTATTCCCCCCGTCTGCTGGGTGGTTGCAGCAAGTTTTGGTCACTTCACATGACCCTGGGACACTGTAACCGTCATCAATATGAATCAGTTACCAAGCATCTGAATGTAAATCACAAGACCCTGGAGATGCTGTAACATTCCAGCTGATCGGCGCTTCTTCTGGGCTCAGCAGAAGTGCCAGGATCAGTGCTGCTTTCCGGCTGATTGGTGCTTCTTCAGGGCTCAGCAGAAACACCAGGATCAGCGCCGAGCTCCAACTGGAGCCTGGCACTGATCCTGGCGCTTCCACTGAGCCCTGACAGCCCCGAAGAAGCGCCGATCAGCTGGAAAGCAGCACTGATCCTGGCGCTTCTGCTGAGCCCTGACAGCCCTGCAGCTCCAGCCATCTCTCGCTCAGGCTTGTGCGGTGCTGCCACCGGTTCAGCTCATTCCCCTCTCCTGCTACCACTTTTCTAGGATGGTTGCGTACCACCTGCCAGGTGCCAATGCACCACAGGTGGTACCTGTACCACTGGTTGAAAAGCCCTGCTCTAGTATTCATTACTTTAAATAAGAGACAGAAAGCATGAGTGTGTAAAAGTAATTTAATTTGTACACAAAGCTGTCAGCAGAAGAGAAAAACAAAGTATGGAATGAGGAAGAGGGAAGCAAGCTTTCACATATTCCAAAGGCACTTTAAAACTGGCTGCCAAAATTCTATCCAGCAAATGAAAAAAAAATGGCTTGCAGCACTGAAAAATGGATAACAGAATGCTATTTAAATCAACACTAAATAAATAAATAAAATAACAATGTCTTTCTCAGTTTTATAGCTACTGTTATGTTTTTACTCTGTAGATACATTCTTCACATATTTTTTCAGTCAAACAGAAAGTGACAGCATCTGTATCTGAGTCTCCAAAAGATCTGGTATTTCCTGAAAATACGAAGAGTAAACACAGATTCCTATTTTACAATGGTATAGATATGAAAACTATATTCATAATTGCATACAAAAAATATATTTCTAGCTAGGAGAAATGTGGAAATCACCTTATTTCTAAATT